TATTTATTTTTGAGATTACTGTGTCAAATTACCTGCTGTTGTAAATGCAGGCTCTTCAGTTCAGTAGGGATTGACTGACAGGAAAAACAGGCAGATGTAGCTCTGATGAAGCAACACATTTTTAAATACGAACAGATAAACTGGATGTGTTGCAGTAGCCTACATGCTGTAATTTGTAGTGATACTGATGCATACTGGAGGTTACTCCATTGAAAAGAGACCATGTACAGATGTTTCCTTTCTGGTGAACCTCTGCAAAATAAAGGTAGCTCAGAAGTCTGATGTGGAGCAAGAATAGTGTAGAGGATTTTAATTTGCAGTAACCTGTTTTTCTACTGTTTTCTGTCATGGAAATAGGTTTGTACCAGTATTTAGCAGACTGGTTGGCTGACTTCAACTTCAGGAGTGAAAATACCCAGCCAACCAACCAAAACTAGATCCCGGAGCTTGCTTGTGCTTTACCTACCTACAAAGACTTCTTGGGAGACTAACTGTAACTTCTTTGAGTTGCAACATGATTGCATTATGCAGGTCTTGCTTTCTAAAATGTGGAAAAAAAATTGGTTTTTTTTAATGACTGTTTGTCATTAGTTGTGCAGCTCCCCAGAGATTGTTGCCTTCTGTGCCCTGGAATAATAGTATGAGGACGCTCATTAGTTGAGTATGAAATAATTTTTGCAAAAGTGTTTTTGAGCTTGCTGGACTATGTAGACTTGGTTGAATTATAAGACTTGATACAAAGGATACAATGTAAAGGGAAGTATTTGGAGCCAGGTAGCTACCACTTCTCCAAATTTCTGTTGGTCTTTAAACATGAACATCTCATCTCACCTAAAAGCTAGTGACCTCTTTTTTTTTTTTCCCCACAAATGGTAAGAGTTGTATAAATCAGGTTCCCTTTAGCATTAGGTATAAGAGAGATTTAAGAGTGTGGCTTATATATCCTGAATTTTTTCATCTGTGTCCTGTGTAGAGATGGTGACTTTTGTTTGTGCTTACCTTCTTTTATTCTTGATTAAAAAGACAAGAGGGCAGCTCTGTCTCTAGAGTTTGTTTAGTACTTGTGTTGGATGCGTAGGCTGGAGGAACTATTGGCTGAATGCATTTTACATAATGTTAAATTTAAAATCAGGTTTAAGCCTTACAAAATGCTAATTATACTTCATTGTCACAGAATCTTATTTTTTGAGTTTCAATTTGTATTGTTTTGGTATTTATCTAAAAGTAAGGAAAATGCAAACTGCCATGGTAAAGAGCAATATTAAAAATAAGATCCAAACTGTACTTACATGTCAGCAAGTATAGAAAGTTTCTGATACTGACAAACTTTTAATATTAATTCCCTTACCACCTTTGCTTCCTATCCAAATTAGTTAAGCAGAAGAAGTATTTCACATGTCATGAAATAGTATTTTTGTTTTTCTTGTTCTGTAAGGATACTGCTGGTAATGAGATGTTACCTACAGTTTCTATACATTAAGTTCCTTTTTAAGGAAGTATCACTGTTAAAGGTGAGCTTTGTCTGCTTTCGAGTGGTCTAGAATGTAGGTTTGTTGGTGTTGGACTGTAGCCTTCGAAGGAATGTTGTCTGGCTGAAGCATGTTTGCTTTTTTTCTTCAATTGTTAGTATGAGCTGTTTGCTTGTCAACTTTAATTGTGTTTTTACGATAAAACCCTTGCTTTGTGTTTTTTGTCATCAAAACTTTGAGAAATGAGAAGAGAACAGGCGTATTAGGTATGCAAGACCATGGAGGAGGAAAAATAAGTAGCATGAAATTCAAGTAATAAATTGAATTTTAAGCTCTGATTTGTTTCCACCAAATGCTTCAGTTTTCAAGAACTTTCTTCTACCTTCCACAGGTCATGCAGTGTTGTATGATTTCTGATTCTTGTGTTTGTTGTATTCTGTCTGTATCTGCATTACACTGCCTAAAACACATATTGTCCCACTGTTGACTTTGACAGCTGTGGTAGTAGCTTTTCTACTAGCAAGTGCGAAATAGGTAATTCCTCCTTAAAAACAGAAATGAAGTCCGAATGTTTCACTGCTGCTGTTTGCTGGTTGAAAGCAGAAAGCAGTCATTGAAGGAGGGTGATGGATGGAGAATGGTGGTGCAGCAGCCTGGAGGAGCCTGCAGAGGGAGGTTGTGCACCCTTAAAGCCAGTCCCATTGTTGTCAAAGCCCTTGTGCAGTCTGGATTCTTTACCTCTTTTGAGCCCCTTTCCCCCCCCACCCCTGCCTCCTTTTCATGGTCCCATAAACATGTCTCAAGGGTCTATTTCAAATTCATTACAGACGATTTGCGCAGGATTTTGTGATGAACGCAGATGTCAGAAGCTGCTCGTCATCCAGCGCCATTGCAGACCTTCAGGAGGATGAGGATGGTGTTTACTTCAGCTCCTATGGGCATTATGGGATACATGAAGAGATGCTAAAGGTTAGAAAGTCATCTCAGCTGCGTCTTAGTAGGACTAAAGAGGAAAGACACAGTGAAGTGGGCTGTGTGCCCATAAATAGACTGCAGAGCAGCTGCATTTTTAACCCTTTCTATACCTGGTAGTTTTTTCCTAGGAGTTGGGTTGAGAGATCTTGTTCTAGTTTTATTTCCTTTGTATAAATTCTATTTATTCTATGGAAATAATTAAGAACATAGAATTGTTTACTCTACAAATATGCTTGAAGATATATTGCAATACCTCAACCTTACCTTGCCAAAAGCAGCTTTTTTTTTTCTGTGTGCTTAAAGGGTAAAGCATCGTCCAGACAGTGAATATTTTTCTTCAGTTTATATGTTTATTACATTTTAAATTTGTCAAGGAAAACCACTTCTCAAATATTGTGGTTTCCTGTCGCATTACATAAACAGAACTTGTTATTTGTGTGCAGTTCAGTGTGTTGATACACATGACATTGAACAGCTGGAAGAATTGTATGCTCCTTTTATATGATAAAGATAAACTAATTAAGGCTTAAAATTCTTCAAAGACAAACCTTTTAATTTCAAAAACACCCGAACACAAACCCCAACAACTTATAATTGACATGAAAATCAAAATACCTTAATGCTTCCTTTCAGAGAAAGTATCATAGTTGTGAAAGTCACGAACTGTTCTATCATTTTAAGACATAAATAAAATTCCTGCCTAATGTAGAGTTAGCATATGAAGTTAGGAAGTGACTTTGTCAATATAGGTACCATATTAAGTGTTCTGCTTTGTATATTATACAGTCGCCCCAGTGCAGAAATGCACATGAATCTGTGTTAGGAATAGTATAAGCATGAGGTTAATTTTAGGGAGGAGGCAGGGTTTTTACGGAAGTACAGAGATGTCTGCAGAGGTAGAATGTTTTCCAAAATGTATAGTCTATATTTCAAGTTTGAAGAAAAAGAAAAATGATTCAAGTTTGGTATTGCAGTTTTATAAAGGTGTCATTTGAGATATTATAGGCTATAGGATAAGGAAGCTTTTTTGTTTGTTAATAAAGTTTATAATAATTCTGCATCTCTGCACAAGGTGACTGGTACAAAATAATATATTTTTTTGGTGTCAGGGAACATTTGTCAGAGTGCTTTTAAGACTTTTAACTTTCCTAAACATAGGACAGCAATTGATTGTTATCATGTGCATTGAATTTCTTCCTATATGCTACGCATTCACTTTGATATTTTTTTTGTCTAACTTATTTATGTAAATATAGTTGCTTGCTATATTGAAATTTTTAAGAAAGTCGTCTTGCTGTCTGAATTTTAAGTCTGTTTCTGACACTTATGCCTGGTGGCATAAGTTATGCACTTTCCTTATGCCTGGTAGTGGTAAGATGAAAGTTCAGTTTGGTGTTTGTTTGGTTTTAGTTTGGTCTTTTTTTTTTCTTTGTTTTTATTTTGCTTTGTTCTGTGGTTTTTTTTTCTACAAATGCTTCAGAGATGGGGTAAGTGTTATTACTTCCCACTGGCCAAATGGCTAGTGTGTCCCTTGTTTTGTTTTTTATTTTTCCTCAAGAATTCCTGGACTACATCTTAATAAAAGATTTTATTTAAAAACAAGACAAAGCAAAGCATTACATTGAGATGGTGAGTGAGAGAATGGAATTGATGAATAGAGAGACTTGAAGTGAATGACCGTGGCTCACTCAAGCAGCAGTGCATATAGTAGAGACAGCAGCTAGAATTGTATTGATTAAGTTGAGGCAATGCTGAGGCAATGTGAGTGGGCAGGATGTGAGGCTGAAAGCTTTCCAGCTGGCTGTTTTCTCGATTGATGCTGAACCTTCCAATATTTTTTTTAACTTTTTTTGGTTGTTTCAGCAAATCCTATTATATACTGCAGTAGAGGTGAAACACTAAAAATAGTTACTCTGAATATAATGTCATAGTAAACCAATATGATTTTAAAGGATCCAGTTTTTTCAAATTCATGTTAATTATATATAAATTTAAAGTACAATTTTCTAAAATCATCCCTAACTGTTTCTTTGGGCTCTGTGTGTGTGATAATCCTTCTAATCTTAAAATTGGAATTTAGGATTTTCAAGTCTCAAAATAATTTGTTTTGTCTCCGGAATTTTTGTTAACATACCCTTTGTTCTCAGTCTCTGTTTTTTGATCATGTTTTTCTAACAAAATAGGCTTTGTTAAAATTTCTTTATTTTCTGTATTGTTTCTGAAACTTCTAACCTGCCATAGTAAAAAAAAAAAAAGTTAACTTAAATGCAAGTAATTAAATTTTATACTTCAGCATTATTTGTTGACTTGTCTTTGCTAGATAAAAATTGTATAAAATTTTTCTTTTACTTTGCTTTAACACTTGAACTGCAACAGCAATTCCAAAACCTCTATTTAGCTGTCAATTTGTGTAGCTGATGATGCATATTAAGAGAATCAATATTTTAATGCATTACCTTGCTGGTAGATTGGGCTATCCTGCTAGCTTTCATCTACTAAGATACTATCAATGTTTACTTTTATCCTTGAAAACAACTTCTTAGGTTACGTTATATTAGAGTTAAGTTTGTTTCTTATATTTGACTTCATAGAATGCGCTGTACGGCTTCAATTATTAGCTTGTCATCAGGTTTGCAAATCTGCAGTTTGTTCAGAAATAGAAAAGCTTAATCTGATCCATAACTTTTTTTCTTTTGGAGGAATCTTAGTGTCACAGGAGTGTCAAAAAATAAAATTATGCAAAATGTTTTATGAACTCGTAAGTAATTTATGAACTGTTGTATAGAAGGTTGTTATGTAAACTTGATGCAGTATAGCAGTATTGCTACTCTGTTACTGCTGTTCTTGGAAAGTAGTGAGAAGGTATTAAGACTTTTGAAACATCCAAAATAAAATGTAGCAGTTCAGGAAAGTAAAAGCTTCTTTCTTATTTTTCTATCAGAGGCTTAGCTGGCTTCATTTGCAAAGACAAATTCTGAAAGAATATAGTATGGAAAGTGTTGTGATTGTAGAGCTCTTGTAAGTAGAGTAGCCACAAAATATCTTTAGGCAGAGTTAAAACCCAAGTTTCTCAGCATTTTTGAATGATATGCTGTATGTTATTAGAAAAACTAAATATTGTTCTTTATTCCTTAAATCATAGGATAAAGTGCGTACAGAAAGCTATCGTGACTTCATCTATCAAAACCCACATATTTTCAAGGACAAGGTAGGTAAAACAGCTCAGAAAATACAGTAATTTCTGCACTTTATTTTTTTTTTTCAAGTGGTAGAAATCCTTCAGGTTGGCTACTTTGTAGCTTTGGGAATGAAATGTTGCACTGACTAGATTTGATTTAATGTACCCTGGCTTTATGAGGTGGTAGAGTGCTATTCAACTGCTGGAGGGTGCAGAGTGCTGATAACAGAAGTGCTGATCACTATTTCCATTGTTCTGTGTGCCATGTCGGGATGTTCATTAATTATATTGGTGGGGTTAAGTTGAACCTTTCATGTTCAGTATATTAAATGGAATCTATCTTAGAGAGCCTTTTTACCAGAATTTAAGTGAATTTCAATTTGTGCCTGATACAATAAAAACATCCTAGAAGCACTGTGTGATTAGAACTGGGGAAGAATTCACGTGCAACTGATTTATTGAATGAGAGTTGTTAAATCTCTCCAGGCTACGTTATTATTAAGAGACTTAGGACCAGAAGCTAATATTTCACCTGCAGTGAGTAGAGATGGCACTGACTTTAGTTTATGATTTTACTGTGGTTGTGACCCCTGCACAGTTTTGATCCTTTACCTGTCATCTGTATTTCTGCTGGCTGTTTCTGATGAGTCCGTTGTGTTCTGAGTTATGCTGTGCAGCCTTCTGTTCTGGATTAGCTTTTCTTTACTTAGTGCTTACCATTCTTAAGCTGTGTATAGGTATTTCTTAAACCTAGACGTGCTCGTTTCATGTTATGGAAGGGAATCACTGTTGTTTTTTTTTTTTTTTTATTTTAATTTTGGTCTTGATTGAGACTTTGTTAATAAGTGATAATAGAAGGCTTCAGAATAGTCATGGAAATAATAGAAGTGCACCCATCTGATAGTTCCTCAGTTGGAAATTGTACTAGATATGGTTTTGTTCTAGGTAGAAGATGCTTCCATGTAGATAGTGCATACTCCTCATTATGTCTTACCTCAGCTTTCTTCTGGCAACTACAATAGAAAAATATTAGGAAAAGAGTTTTGTTCCTTTTTTTGCTTCAATCTATGTCACAAGTCTGTTTCTACTAAACGTTTCTAAGCTTTATAGATATAATGAGAGAACAAGCTAAAATGAAAATATTATAGGAACATTATGCTGCCAGCTACTTAAAAGCTGTGGATAACTGTGTAGCTGGGTGGCTCATCCAACAAAGTGGAAGGATCAGTAAAGGAAACAAATTTACTTTCATAGGTGCCCCTAAATTTGATAACTGCAGGTTTTCACAGAGTAAGACTGATCTTAGTTACGTGGAACAGTAAATTTTCAGAATTGGTTGTATTTCTCCTCCGCTGTGTGGACATATTGTAACATTTGAAACAAAACGTGGATGACCTGTTATAGGCGTTGCTTCAACCCTAGCTGTAGATGTACTTGCTCAGGAATCAGCTAGAAAATGTGTGTGCTTACTGTGTTTTTTAATTAATATGAAATCATTCAACTTCTAAAGAAAAGCTTGTCTATTATTGCAACACCTACAAACTAGTTTCTGAACTCAGTGTTTTACAGTGGTTTTTTTGATCGATACACCTCTTACCTCAAATTCATCGTGTTTTCAAACCCGTCACAGTGCGTTGAAGTTGAGTGGAAAGAAAGATCTTCCAATTTCTTTGAATTCCCAGCAGCTTCCATCCAGGTGATCAGTGCCTCACTTAACTTCTGTGTCTGACTAAATGGTGATGTAGTTTTCACTTGGTACGCTGTTATGGAGAATAGATGGGATGATTTTTTTTTTGGGGATATCGCTTTGAAGTGGTATCTGCTATAGACTTCTGCTGAAGGAACTGTTTTGCTTGACTTGTGGTTCTGAGAGCATCATATGATACATATTAATGAGTGAAACTTCCAACTTGAGGAAACAGGCTGTTTTCCCTTAAAGTTTGATTACAAGATTAAAAAAAAAGTGAGTAAAAGTCTGATACTATACTTCTAGAACTCTCATATGGTAATCCTTCCTAGAAAACACATAATGATGCTTTTTGTTATTTCTGAAAGGAAACCTGTGAGGTGAGTTGGGAGGAGCTTGTTCAAAGAGCTCAGTTGATTGTACCAGCTTTTGATGCAAACTTCAGTATCCCAAAGAGGTATGATTGCACACTAACAGATGATAGCAGAATACCTAGGTTTGTTTTAGGCATGCTTTTTGCAGAACCAGTCAATTTGATTGTTCTCTCTCAGCTTTCAAAATAAATTATTGAAACTTGAATGAATTCTGATTGCTGCCTTTTTTTCAACCTGTACATGAGATGAGAATAGGACAATTTAGATTACCTAGCAGAAGTAGTTAACGTGGCCTTACTCAGTAAAAGGAAATGTGATCCATTGTTACAAGAGTATTTTTGGTGGAAAAATAAGTGGTTAGAAAAGTACTATTGCCACACTTTGGTTTTGCTGTTGAATAGAAGTCTGAGGCAGGCATCAATGCCAGGTTGAGGGGAAAAAGATGAGTTTTTAAACATTGTTCCTACTAAAAGTTCATTGATGGATTTAATTTAATTGGCCAAATTACCTGACCTCCTCTTTTTCTGAATGTGAGATATTTTTCTGTTACTGGAAGTAGAATATCCATTCTACAGAGAAGGATGTGATGCTGCCGTGTATTATGGTATAGTCAAATCGCCAGTCCAGCTGCTCCAGATCTCTGGTGAGAGGCCATATGTGATCACCACAAGAATGTGTTAGCTGTAGACCCTTGTCCTTAGGCTAATTGGTGATCATTCTGCTTGTCTTTCTGTTCCTCAGATGTGTTCCAGCTTGTATATTTTCTCTCCTGTGCCTTTTTCTCCACCCCTATCCCCTGCCTAAGGCTAGATGACTTCCATCTGGGTTTTTAAGTGGCCAGGGCAGCTGTCCAAAGTGGTGTCTGTTTTGATTTTTTTCCAATTTGTGATGATTGCTTTCTTTCATGCAACTATACATCAAGATCATTCTTTCACAGAGGTTTATTTTTGGCTCTGACTTCCAGCTTTCAAGGCTCAGCAATTTTGTTAACTACCATGAGTAAAGTGTTAGAATAGACAATGATAGGGGGCATGAGGTTTCAGCAGCTGCAAGAACACTAATTTTTACTTTCTATTCCTGTCTCCAAAAGGCTTCAGCCTAGGGATTTCTGTAGCCATTACATACTCACATGTAACTGGTGAATGAGTGGTAGAATTGACTCCTATATAGGTACATAGCTGCAAAGAGTTCCAAGCAGAATGAGTAACTCTGTCTGCAACTTCTGTGGCCAGCCTCTACAAAAGATGCTGTAAAAAACTCATGCTAATGTTTTCTATCTGATTCTGGATTGTAAATTGCTCTATGAAGACAGGTGGCAGTCCACTCTTCAGTATTGCTTCCCATTGCATATACCACAGCAGAAGCTCATTTACTGTGCTGTTAAGGATAAATGGCTATTGTTATTCAGCCTGGCTTCAGAATCATTGTTCTGTATACATCATCAGAATGTATAGAATTGTATGCAAGGCAAGCAGACCTAATGTGCAAAGCATTCAAGTATTTACTTTGATACTGTTTGTCAGGTGAGATTTAAAAGTGCACATGCAAGTTTTTGTTGTGCCAAAGCAAGAATGCTCAGTAGCTCATAAACTAGGAAGTTTGTCAGTAGGGTGCATTATTGCCTTGAAGTATTTTGCAAAATGGGGTTATAATTCTCTAGTGTTTCAATAATCAGTTGATTATTGAGTGATTTGATGCCTTATTTGGAAAAAAATTAATGTCATTAAAACTGTGAGGACAGCTTTTGCAACACTGGAAGCTGTGCTAAGAATAGAGTGTGAAATAAGTTAATTTTCCTTTCTAATAAATTATTTTTATGATTAGTAATTCTGACTCAATGTTCCTGTTGTCTTAAAAGTGTTTTAGTAAATTGTGCTTGGTCTTTTGTATGGGAAAGGAAGTCAGTTTTTACAGTTCGCATTCTGTTAATGATTAAGTGCTACGTGCAATACAAGTGACTGTACATAGCATTTAGGAAACTTCCTTTGATCTTCAGATTTCAGAATGTTTTGGGGTTTAGTGCTTAGAATTTTTAAACACCATTAGTAAAGCTTAACTATATTAGATAGAGGTCGAACAGTAAGACCACTGATGAGCTGTCCAGTGCAACACAGTGCACCCTCAGCAAATTTGCAGGTGATAAAAAATGGGGAGGAATGCTTCACACACCACATGGTTGTGCTGCCATTCAGAAGTACCTCCATAGGCTGAAGAAATGGGCTGACATGGGTCCTGTGCAAAGAACTCAGTGCAATCAAAGGGCAATGCAAAATCCTTCAGCTGGGGAGGGAAGAATAACCATGCACCAATAGAGGCTGGGGACCTACTGGCTGAAAAGTAGCTTTGCAGAAAAGAATTTGGGGGTCCTGGTCAATGCCAAGTTGACCTTGAGCCAACAACATGCACACCTTGTGGCAAAAGCAGCCAACTAGTCTCCTGGCCTATAAGAAAACTTGTTACCAGCAAGTCAAGAGAGATGAACCTTCTCTTGGATCCCAGGGAGATGGCTTCTGGAGTGCTGCGCCCGGTCCCGGGTTCCCTGGTGCAAGAGTAAGATGAGTGTCCTGGCCTGAGTCCAGTGAAAGACCACAGAAGTGATGAAGGGACTGGAGCATCTGTGATATAGGGAGAGGCTGAAAGAGCTGCGATTGTTTTGTCTGGAGAAGAGACAGTTCAGGAAGGATCTTACCAGTGTGTATAAATAGCTGGTGGTGTGAGAAGTAAAGAAGTTGGAGCCAGACTTACCAGCGATGCTCAGGAACAGGACAAAAGCAGTGGGCACAGATTGAATGCCAGACAATCACCTTTAAGCATCAGGAGATGCTTTTTTTTTACTGTGAGGGCAATTGAATACTGGCATAGGTTGACCAGAGAGCTTGTGGAGTCTCTGGAGATATTCAGAAACAACCCAAATGTGGTTCTGAGCAATCTGCTTTAGTTGAAACTGCTTTGAGCAGAGGGGTAGACTAAGTGACCCCCCAGAGGTTCCTTTCAACCTCAAGTATTTTGTGTTTCTGTGAAAACATCAAATGTGAAACTTAGAGCTTGAAAATCTACTGTAAGACATCCAAAGTTTAAAAAGTGTTAGTTTTTAAGCTTTTGAGAAGTTTCCAGCCATTAGAAAAAAATACTACGGTTATTACTATTATGATACTAAGGCCTGAACAAAGCTGCTTGGTAAAATTTTTATGAACTCTTATGAATGTCAACACTATTGGCAGCTCAACTCTACTAATTAATATATTTGATAATATTTTTTTAGTTGCTTACTGTTTTTTAACTTTTCGGCTTTCCTGCAGTAGCTAATATGTGAGACCAAAGCCAAGCATTTGCATGAGTCTTGTTGCTATGTTGAGTGTACTTTTTTCAAGTGTAGTGATGACGTTTATTTTTCTTTCATGGAAACTTTGAGATCCCATCTTCCTGGAATTTTTGGTTCTATTTTGATTGTAAGTAGTGTTAGAAAATATTCCCAGGTGTTAAAACGGTACCAGTCACTATTTTGAAATTTAGTAATCTTGAGCCATAGCTGTTTTGAGGCACTCTGGCCCTTTCTAGCAGATGATTTTTAAGTAAAGTTTCTGAATAGACTCTTAATGAGATACTGCAGTTAGAACATGTGTTTTCAGTGCCAGTGCTAAATTAAATTGTTAATGATTCACTAATTAAAGTTGCTCAGGCTCTAGTTTCCTGTTTCTCCTGTTTCATGTAACTTTTTTAGTTGTTGCCCAAATAATTGCCTGTGGTTATTTCCTGTGTGAGTTAATCTGTGGCTGGAACTAGTCTGCTTCATTGTCTATCTGTAAAAAGTAGTAGAGAGTGTGGAACAGCCGTTTGACTTGGGTATCTCTGAATTTAATAATAAGACTTGGTGCAACAGTTTGTTCCTTCTGTTAGAATATAGTATCTCTCTGATGTAGAAAGATGTGTAGAAAAATCATACTCAGGGAAATAAATAGAGGCAGAAGTAAACATTGTATTTGTTCCAGGTGGTTTTGGATGTTGGCTGTGGAACTGGAATACTCTCCATGTTTGCCGCCAAAGCAGGCGCCAAGAAAGTGATTGGAGTCGACCAGTCTGAGATTATCTATCAGGCCATGGACATCATTAGGTAGGAAAAGTTCTGAACAAGTGTGGCTGTAAAAAAGAATTGAAATGCTGTTACTAGTTAATGATCACCTACCACTCAGTATGTCTTCTGCTGAAGTTCTTCTTTGTCCTAAGAAGTAACACAGGTTTTGATGTGCAGTCAGGTTGCGTGCTCCTCTAATAGAGGTAATTAAATCAGGGCTGTAGTTAAGGCAGAATGTTTCCCAGACCTTCCTCCTAATGTTAACATATGGTCAATGCCTCGCTGTGGAGGCTCAGACTGACTGCTGCCAGTCCATTTTCTGATCTTGTGCTTTAAATGTTGCTACTGATAAAATCGTAACTTCCATTGATGCAGCTTGTATCTTTTGTCTCTCATCCAGTCCCTGTGATATGAGAGAAGAGCTTGGCTCTGTCTTTTCTTCACCCTTCATTTAGGCAGAGGAAGATATCAGAAACCCATCCCTTAACTATCCCTTCTTAAGACTGAACAAACCCAGTTCTCTCCACTTCTCCCTGTATGTCATGTGCTTCAGCCCACTGTCATCTCAGTGGCCCCTTCAGTGGACTAGCTCGAGTATGTCAATGTCTTGTCTTGTACTGGGGACCACTGGATGCTGTACTCCAGGTGCAGTTTTGTAAGTGTCATATCAGCTGCTCCCCTCCCAATTTAGCATTATCCACAGACTTGCTGAGGGTGCATTCTGTCCCATTAGGTCACTAATAAAGGTGTTAATTACTATCAGAACCAGCACTGAACCCTGAGAAACCCCTGGTACCTGGCTGACAGACTTTGTACTGCTTCTTTCACCTCTTGATCTTCGTAGTCTAGATAGCTTTCCACCCATCTAATGGTTCATTAATCCACTCCACATTTCACTAATTTACCTATAGAGGATATTATGGGAGATTGAGAATATACCTTGAAAAGAAGCAATGGCATCTAAAGACTTAAAAAGTATTTCCTAGTGCGAGGTAGAAGAAATGTAGGTGAAAATGTGTACTGTTGATAGCTGAGGTGTGTAGGGTTCTTTAGGTTTGGTTGTTTTTGTAAGAGCAACTGTGAAAAAGAAAGCCTAGGTAGGTACTGAGGAATTTGGGATTGAGAGTTTGCATGCAAGCTTAAATCTTACAGAAATAAGGTTGTCTAGGCAGAAGTTTTAGGTTTGATACCACTTACACATTGGAGATGCAACACTGCACACTTAGGGCCTGTAAAATTATTCTGTTAAATAAATGCCTGTTTAAGAGAAGTACCATGTTAAGCATTAGGTGCAAATTTGACCAAAATGGCACAAAAACTTGTTCGCTAAAGATCTCTTTTCCCAGAAGTCCTTGACGTCTTCAGGGTGGTTACAAATGTGAAATGGTGTTTTATTTTTAATGTACTAGATGACAAACTTAGGATTGTTCGTATCTTTCAACAATTGCACGAAAAGCCCTTTATATGTTATTTGTACTTAGAGGAGTATAGAAGTATCAGCCAACATGTATTACCTTTGGTGAGGAGAAGGGCAAGCCTTTAAGAAAAACAACAAACCAAACCTCTTAAACTCACGTGAGAGGGATGAATTGCCACTTGAAGTGTGCAGTGAACCATCACTACGGCTACATGTTTATAGATACCTTCTGCTATAAAAGGTTTGATTTACATTAAAGTTTTCAATTCATATCAAAGCAATTTATATTTTTTCTTGTTGAACCTCCTTCTCCTGATGGAATAAAGCTGAGAAAACTTGGAATAATTACAAATATTTACTGGAATACTAAATGACTTTGTGTTGCTGAAAAATGACTACTGCAGTCTGCTTCCACCTGTGATTAAAGTATGCACTCAAGAGTTTATCCCTCCAAGAATTCAGGTTCATTTCTAGTATGCTAATTACTACAAACAGTGCAACCTTTGCATGTGAATAAACTGGAATAAGTGGCCTGACCGGCCTGATTCTTTCCCAAGGTTGCATAGTAAATTTATTTTTAACTAAATGCTTGCCTTCTCATTTTCTTGCTGTGAACAGCTGCCTGTAAAATTTCTAGTGCAATGAATGACTTAATTTTTGTTGTTCATCACTGTTATGCTAGAATAGAAAATTGAAGTATGCTTCCTAAGTAGCATCCCAGCAGTTTTTCCTACAATATGTAGACTACATTGTTTCGATGTTTGGGTTGGTTTTTTTTATACCTTATGATTGAAAACGAGTATGTAATGAATTAGTCTTTTTCCTCTCTTGTTTTAAATAATGTCCTTGTATGTTGTAAGTTCGGAATTTTTCCTTATCTCTTTTTGTCCTTCCTAAATTATAGTGGTGGGTGATAGGTCTTCAGCATTTTATTTCTCGCTTTGAACTTCAAATTTTACTTCTGTTTACAGCATTAAATATGATATTAATGATGAACTGCTACTCTTCTAACAGAAGACTGTCTTGTGTAGAGTATTTTATCCTTCCAACAGCCCACATGTTCAAGTCGCCCTTTGACCCTTTCCTTTCCCTCCCTTCATTCTGATCTGTCTCCCATTGTCTTTTAGATTTAATTTTAATGTGAATTACTGCTCTGCATTGAAAGCCAGACAGAATGTAAGAATAAGATATCAGAATAGGGATGGAGGGAGCAAGGATAGAGATAAGAACTGCAGTAGAAAAATAAATTTCTTTGGTGGGAATACTTTTCTGCCCGCTATAACAGCTGTCGTAATAACGGTATGTGCAAGAGAGACTAATATGGCTTGCCATGAAAAAATTACTACATGTCAAGCATTTACATATCTAGTAATTTCACTGTCATGCAGTTTTTGTTTCAAAAATTGTAGTCATGTCATAGTACCTTCCTCCATATACAGGATGGTTGTACCATTACTTGCATATGAGGTAATACCCGATTACTGCAGTTACTAAACATTGCAGATGATTGTGGGAAGGATGCCTTTATTGTGGAATAACTGTAGTACCAATCCAGAGGGAATGTTTGTTCTCAGTGACTTTGCAGCTAGTTTTGTTAAATAAAAAACGAAGTCGTGCAAGACAGCTTTGTGAGGAAGTTAATTTCTATTGCTATCCTAGCGTGATGAGCAGGCTCTAATCACTATAGACTTAACGCTACAAGGGTCAAAGGAGGAGAACTGGGAATGAGCAACTCTAAGTAAAGAGAAGCATCGTTTTAAATTGTCCTCTTCTCTGTTTTCTGAACCTTACATATTTGCATGCACAGCACATTAGAGGTACATAGATCTACTGTCTGCCATCTTTGCCTGGCACTTAATCTGCTGGAGTTCTTGAATACTCGGAAGCATTCCCTCTGAAATATAACTGAAGAGTATTACATTTTAGTGCTTTCTTGATTAGTTAAAAAATAACTGTTATTGTGGGGGAAGAAATGCAAAATATAGACACTAGTATATCTTTCTTGACAGCATAAATTAGAAGTATAAACTAATTTGTTTATGTTGTGACTTGCAGATTAAATAAACTTGAAAATATCATTACATTAGTCAAAGGAAGAATTGAAGAAGTAGATCTGCCTTTGGAAAAAGTGGACGTAATTATATCTGAATGGATGGTAAGGTGCATGAATATTCTTTTCAAGATGTAATTATTTTCAGAAAGAAATATGTTGTTTTATTTCATTTCAAAAATTATTCTTTAAGCAATGCTATTTTTTAACCAAAAATTTATCATGCTTGCAACAGTGTCTTTGGCAATGTGGGAGATGGGATGATGATCCTGATTATGTGATACTGGGATACAATTCTTGATCCCTCTTGTTCATGATTTCAAGTCGGGGTTCTCTAAATACAGTTGAACTGGTTTGAGTAAAGCAGTAAGTTTCTGTTACGTAGTTAGTTTGCAAGTCTACCCAAGTACTCTGTATCCCTGAGTAATACTATTGTAGCTGCTCAGGTGAAAGTAATGGAGAAATACTGTATTAGTCATCTAGCTAGATCATTCTGATGAGTAAAATACCTCTAGTCTGCAAAGGCATATAAGGACTATGCTGACTGTGGGAAAGGTTATGAGGCGGTAAGGAGCATACACACTGGAAAATCTATAAGTATATAGAGAGCTTGAAACCAGCATCACTATTCATTGCAGTTTTTTAGTACTAAAATAAAATAACTGATTTTAAAAGTACGTAATAAAGATGGTGGCCAACAGGAAATGGAGTATGCAGGGTGTGCCTGAGCCATTTCTTGTAATCTGTTTGGTTTCAGTGTTTGGCTTGTTACCTTCCTTTCTCTCAGTTGCTCTTACAAGACTCTGTGGTATGACCCAGTATCAGGGTGAACTTCATAGTGACTAAATAAGTCTGTTCCCTATCAAAAAATGTGGTAGGAAACACCCCTTGTGTTGCAGGCTTCTGCTATTCAGTTTCCTCATATCACAGACATTCAAAAAGCACTTAAAAATACAGGGTTTTTTCCATTTTAGTTCCCACTGTTTGGTCTTAAAGAAGAATTCTTTTGTTCTTCAAATTTAAGATGAATAATGAAAACTCATATTTAAAGTTACTTTTTTTTCCCCACAAACTGGCTGTTTTACTATACACAAGGGCCTTTGGGAGAGAGGTCACATGTTCAGTATGGATCTGTATGTATTTAAGTAGTTTCCAGGTAAAGGTGTTTCCTTCGGTTGTTCGGTGGTGGTGGGTTTTTTTATTACATATTTCAGTGTGCTGGCAATCTGCAGAAGTTTTTTTCCTCCACTGCTATAATGAATGTTATTGGGAGAATGAGCTTAATTTAGTGTTGAGGTCATTAGTTTCTAGGAAGGTTTAAACTAGTGGTTTAAAAATAATGCGTTATGGTTGGTGATATCTGACAGCATAGTGACTTCACTAGAAATGTAATTTTACTTCTTTCAGGAGAAACTTCTGATCAGTTGGCTAATATGTACACCGAAACAGTGTTCCCAAAATCCCATTTTTCATTCTGGAGCCCAAGATTTGGTTTTAAAAGCAACTTGGGCACTTAAGAGCTTAACTTATATTGTAAAGGGTTTCAAAAAGCAGTTCTCATAAGAAATGAAGTATTGAATGTTCCATGTTTCCCATTTGTGTGCTGATTTACCTTTTAATGTCATAATTATATACCCATGAGCATTTCACTTAATTAGGTATTCTAAATATTTAGGAATGTTAGCATTTTTATAGGTTGCTGCAATACAGAGATAAAGAGGACAATGCTGTGGAAGTAAGATTGATAGCTGGACAGTGCATGTGCTGTTCCAACTCTGTCCAGAAAGGAACATTGTGTTGCCTAGATGCAAATGAAGATTCCTCTTTGTCTAGCTTTCTTGTGTGAATTTGCTTTTTCCTTTTCCTTCCCTATGTGATGCTGACCAGTGTGAAATATTTTGTTAATATGTGAATGTAAGTGCTTGAAAATTTGGAAATGCTCAGTGTGAGAACAAAATGGAATTTGAGATGTCAATTTTCAGCTCTTTATTTAGAGAATCTGTGGACTAATTCTAGTGGGAACAGTGTTCTTTCTCTGTAACAAAAATATGAAAATTTGCTCTTCTGTTTAGCGCACAAACTGCTTTTAGACTATTAAGCATCAAACCCTTTTGTGGAGTCATAACTTTATTTTGCTGGATACAGAACAGTGCTAAAGACCGGTATACTATAAGCTTTTTTTAGAGTTATGTAGCATCAAAGTTATGGAGCATCAGAAAATTAAAAACAAGTGTGAAGCAGCAGAATGGATGCTGGGTAGAGGAAAGATACTGCATCCCCTGGGAATGTTTCTAGAACAGGCTTTTTGAGAAAGGTGGTATGTAGAACAGTCTATTATAAAAGGTACAGTAGTTGTATTATGTGCATCTCCAACATAATGGCTTCCATTGATCATTCTCTTAATTGTGTAAGTGACCTCTGGCTTCCACAGACTGGTTGCTGTTCCTGCCTCTCTTTCATTTTTAAATTTGTCACCTTAAAAATATGCAAAAATGGGGGCAGCATCTTAACTATTACATAGTGTGTGTGTGTGTGTGTGTGTGTGTATATATGTGTGTGTGTGTGTGTGTGTGTGTGTGTGTGTGTGTGTGTGTGTGTGTGTATATATATACACACACACACACACATACACAGAGAGAAATTATGTTTCAAAACTGTATTTGCTCTCTTCCAAAATAACATTTTTGAGTTTTAAATTCATCTGGATACAGTTTTGTCGTGTTCCAGGTATAAAGACTGAAGGATAAGCAACTGTGTCTTCAGTGGCTTTATTTAAGCCTATGAAAGAAATTAGCTGCGATCTTACTTTTAATGTAAAGACCAAATGCATTGTTTGTGACATCTGAAGTATATGTGTTTGACACTGTTAAAATCGGACCATAAGCAGGGCACCTGTGTGATTGCGGTAGACTAAAACCTGAGGAGGACAGTGGAAGGTGTGATGACCTGTGAACTGTTCTGTTGGTATCCGAAAGGCAAATTGTTGAAGATTGAGGGCCTATTGGACTACAAAGATCCAGATAAAGCCATCTATTTAGACTTTTTCACCTGAAGACAGCTATGCATTCATTTTAGCAGAACATTGGTGAAGTTTGCAGCCTGACACGAAGACGTTTTGTGTGCTGTGACTCAGGAACACAAAGGAGAGCAGGTGGACTGAAGAGTACCTTCACCTAATTGTTGTGGTTTAAACCCAGCCAGCAACTTAGCCCCACAGGATTGCTTGCTCACTCTACCCCAGTGGGATAGGGGAGAGAATTGGAAAACTCACTAGTTGAGGTAAAAACACTTTAAGTAAAGCAACAACTACAACAACAAAGCAGAACAAGGAATTCATTCACTGCTTCCCATTGGCAGACAGGGGTTCAGCCATCTCAAGGAAAGCAGAGCTCCATCACAGGTAACAGTTGCTTAGGAAGATGAAATGCCATGACTCCAGATGTCCTTCCCTTCCTCCTCCTTCCCACCCCCACCCAGCTTTATATGCTGAGCATAATGTCACATGGTATGTAATATCTTTTTTTGTCATTTGGGGTCAGCTGCCCCAGCTGTATCCACTCCCAGCTTCTTGCAAATGCTCAGATTTCATTGGAAGTGTAGGACTTTGACTTGAATGTACTACTGTTTGTACAGGTGGTGGAAAAGTACTTATGAGCTGTATACACCATAGACTCGCTCTCAGTCAGGATTACAGTTATGCATTCTCCCCTAAGATACTGAATTTTAAGAAGCACTGATGTTTTACTGTAATTAGAATAATTTTACATACAGTATATAAGTTTGAAATGAGAAGTGCTATGCAAAGTGCTGAAGCTCATGTTTGATTAAATGGAATGCTAAGCAGGAAAAGATTTGCTATCAACATCCAAAAGTGACTGTGTTATTGCACATGTAGATTTTGGTAGTGTAATTGTAAACGTCATGGGCTACTTACTGAAAGGATGAGTGCAGAAAGAAACAAAATGTATGAAATGGTTTTCTGGAATGTTCTTGCCCAGCTGCATCTGCATGCAGATTTTTTTCTCTCTGTGCTTTTACTTCCTTTCTTTAGTGAAGAATATAAAGCTGAAGGTTGAGAGTTTTATTCATTTGAAAAATATCTGCAATTCTTGTTTGTAAGGGGTTTTACTGTGAGACAGTTGTCTGAGATGGTTGTCTCAAGTACAGTGTTAGAATACAGTGCGTTCTCATAAATTGCGCTTTTATGCAGTGCTTTATGGTACTGAATATGCAATAGTTTTACACAAGGGAAAACTGGGAAAGAGACGCACTCTTAAAATATAATAAACCAAAGATAAAATCCAATACTCTTGTCTCTTAATCGTGTCATTGCTCAGGCAGCTAATGTTTTTTATTTCTCCTTCCCTTTTTTGTGTTAGATAACTTTGAAGTGATATCAGAATGGGCTATGAACGGGAAGTATTCAGGATCTGGGCAAAAGAACTAGGAAGTGAGCATGTCTGAAACACTGGAAACCTTTTTTTTCCCTCTCCTTCATCCTTTCCCCTATTTCTATGGTGGATTTACAGTGATGGTGCTTTTTTTAACCCCCTTACTAGCCTTTCTGTAGTCTTAGTATTCTCTGTTTCTGTTAGTATTTGGAGGTGCATTAATGCAAGTGTTCTAGAACACAGTAATAATTTATAATTTTATGTAAGAATTGAGCTTTTCTTTTCTTTTTGGGTTTCTTTGATTGTATGGTTTTTTAAAATGATGTTGTAAAGAGCATACTGAATGCTTTGATTTCTTTACAGCTAATTGCTTTTTATAAAGGAATTGTGTTTCCCTGCATTAAAATACTTTTTTTATGCCTGCACCATTAATGAATATCACTTTTGTGCTCTTCAGAGCTTTGCTTTTGGTGTTTTCACTCATCTTACATTTGTTGAAGAACACAACAGGGTGTACATAATAACAAAACCAAGCTGTGGTTTTGAAATGTGTGGGCTTGCTCTGCCAGTAATGAATTATTTCCTTTTTTTTAAAATTAAATCATACAGAAGAGGTTAGCATGAAGGCTGACTTAGTGTGAGGGAAATGGTGCTGCAGCAGAGCATGCAGAAGAGTTTACATGTAGCTCCTGCTTCTCATTTAAATGCACCACAGGTTTTGTGGGGATTTTGTCAAGTAAAAAGTCATTTTTCACAGAACTGAATGGGCTGCATCAGTTTTGTGCATCTGTTAATGCAAGATTACATTTTAGGTTATGAATCAAATCCACTGTCCAGTCTGTTTTATGCACCCTCTGTAACTTATTTTACTCTGCAGTCCAATGAAAACCTTATAGTTAGAAACTGCAGTTTAAGAAAATAATGCACTTCTTTATACTGATAGGGTTTAAAGAAATAAAGTCTACTTGCTGGGCCAGTGGTTTGACCGCTGCCTTTTGTATCATTAAAGGTCCATTATTGGACCTTACTGAATCTGGAGTACCAGACCAGGTTCAGTTACGTTACAGAAAATAATAAAATAGATCTTTGATAGAAGGCATGGGGGGGTAATGCAACACTTATTCAAGTAAGTTAAGTATTTCTTCTCAGTTTTATCCTTAGGTGTGTTTTCTGCTATACTAAAAATTCTGCTAACACTTGCTATTGTAAACATGCTAATACCACTTCTTGAAAAGCGTTCTTAATATATATAGCTTTCACTGATAAGCAGAAAATAAGTGAAGGCAAAACCAATTTCCATGAAGGTATTTGATAGGAATGGATAAAAGAAATGTATATAAATAGAGATTTTTATCAAAAAAATTTATAGAGATGTTTATAAATAGAGAAATCTGAAATAATATGTGTTTTAAGCAAAGCATTTTTCTTTACAATTCTCCAAAAACTCAGATGTATTTTAAAATTAAGTTTTGTTCTTGAGTCTTGATGCTTTTAAGGATCTTAATCTCTTTTTCTCCATGAAGAGTATCATGATGAATACTGAAGTGTGCTAATGTTAAAAGAGCTTCATATACTTACAAATGAAAATAAATTTGAGAGTGCTGTAGTGTATTTGAAGACTAGAGGAGGATTTAGCAATGCAGGATATTAAGCCATCGAAGTTTTGCGAGTATTTTATAATTCTTTTTCGAACACAAAATACAGATATGAGTCATATAAGAAATGTAGTGATATTCACGTTCCTCTGGATTCAGATTTTTCAGTAGGGTTGTGCATTTTTGATAGCTGATTTCTTGGACAGAGATGATGTAGGACAGACATGTTTGAATGGAGTAACTCCATAGTACCGTTCCTGTCCAAATTTTTTAATATCTGTGTAGGTGGTGGATTTGTTAGCTGGAGAACAACTCTTTCATTTCAGTGTTGAAATTATAAAATTAAGGAGCTTCATGTTTATTTTGAGAAAGAAACGGTCAACTTTTTAGTAGAAAATGCATCATATGACAGCATAACACTTAAGATCTGCCATGTATTCAGATTGTCTTGAAAAGAGAACCTGTCACCTTTTATGTCTTAGTTTAGCCACTAGCAAAATTGATTTATTAATATTCAGCACACAGATTTGTATCCTAGAGATCTCTGTAGTAATTAATTTTGAGGATGCTAATACATGCCTAAGAAAAAACAAAGCCCTGAACATTACTGAGGTGGAAGCAAGACTGTCCCACAGCATCATGGGGAAGACACGTCAGGTATAATTCTCTTTCCAGATGGCACCCCTACAGGTGAGGCAGCAGGCTGTGAAATTACATTCTAAATTACACCACAGATGAGCACAGCACACTGAGCAAAACGCTCTGGTATAAGTAATAAATGACTTGATTCAGTACCATTGACGGTTTATGTAACTTACAGGAATGCTATAATGAATTGTGGGGGAAGACAGAACTGGGAGCAGGAGGGAGAACCAACTGTGCCGGAGTGGAAAGGTTGGGGAGAGGACGGTCAGAATTTCACTGTATTTCTCATGTGTCTTACAACCGTACTACTTACACTTGATTGGCAGACGTTGTAGGTGATGGGCATTTTAGGCAGAAAGAAATAAGCAAGTGTCACTCTGTAAGTTGCTGACTGTTGCTGGTAACTAGTCTGACAATGTCCTAGAGGTCATGTTCAAAATACTGTGAAAACTACTGATTTTCAGTTAAAAGCATCTGAAAAGCATTTTTATGAACCAAACATATATTCTCTTTTTAAAACTGCAAGACTAAGAATAAAAAAATGAGAACTCTGGTTCCATTCTGTGCTTTTTGGCTTGCTGTAGGCATAAAATAATCTGTCAGATGTGATTGGAGCTTTTGGCCTTTTCAACTGTTTTGCAAAAAACTTACTGAAAATCATATTGCTCACAAAGCGGTAGTCTTCATTCTGGGACTTGTTCTAAGGACTTCATAAGGTAGGCGGTAAAGTGGAAGAACAGACAACATTTGGAAGAAAAGCGTGCAGTAGCATTTCCATTATTTTCAAACTATGTTCTTGTCGAATGCGAGTACGTCATGCACCAAGTTTCTGGTTTTCTAGTTTTGCGTTTAGTTCTGAAGGCTGTAGTGTGGATGGTGACATTTATAAGCAATTCTGAACTTGCAGTGGTTTTTTGTTCTAAGAGCCCTAGGCAGAATAAGCATCCAAGATGGCATACACTTGAAGTAAACTCAGTGGTCATAGCAGTACAGTCCCCATGCAATGCTGTCTGTCTTCAGTAGTGTGGCATGATGACTTCAAAACTAAAAAATAAATAAATAAATTAAAAAATAATCCATAAGATTGTACAAATATGGAAACACAGGAATGATGAAGGGGAAAAAAAAATCTTAGTTTTGCTGGGTTTGGTTACTGCTGACTGGGCTTGTTAGACTGTGTGTCCAAAGTCTGGACTACTAATTGTCTTTTTTGTTCTTTACTACTGGCAATCAGTGTATAAATCAAGCCATATGGCTAAGGTGTGTTTTAAGCAAAATGAAAATTAAGATGCTAAGTGAAAATCCAAAATGTATCCTGGTATGATTTGTCTTAATTGATTTGATGTTGTAAGAATGTGTATGTGGATGAAATGTGTTACAGTTCAGCAAGAATAAGGATCATACTGGAACTGAGAAGGCAGGAAGGGTGTAAAAATCAGTAAATCAGCTGAAGAACAGAGGGCTATATCTCTCTTAAAAATCTCCAGTTTGCTTGAAAGCAGTTGAGAAACTGGGTGTTTTATATAAAATGCTAATTGTATGTGATAGTGCTAAACGTTTTTATATCTCAGAAATGTTTAAGGAACTGTAGGTTTTTTCTGTTTCAGAAAATTACTATTAAACTTATAACAAGTTATTCTAAACAACTAAAGCACTATGATTAACCTGCTATAAAATTAATCTCAACACAAAGAAACCCAAACCTGTGCAAATCTAGTTCTAACCGTTTTTATCCTGAGAATTTTAAGTTCAGGTGCTGTCCAGAGAACCCATGTCTTTGATACATGATTTATTTCCACCTGTCTTAGTGGACATTCCCAGGCTGGCACAGGGCACCACAGGGTTGTGTGGAAGGAACAAAGATGCATTTCATTTGGTGTTTCTCTGATAATAATTTTACTTAAAGTTCTAAGTGGGAAGAGATTTTCTTCTTTGATTTGACTTTTTTTTTTTTTTTGGGAAATCTTGGAGTCATTGCTAAAAAAATCAACACATACAGCTTTTCACTTGGTTTGAAGCAAGTTTAATTTCTTTTGATGTTGTAGGGCTATATCAGGTAATTGTCAGTGAAGATGGATATTTGCCTATAGTTTATTAATTTAGTAGATGCTAGATAATTGCAGTTGGGGAAATTAAAGATGATATTTTATGTAACTGAGGTTTTGAAGTGAAAATACTATTTTTGAGAAATTGGGTGATGGCTCTTACTGAGGTGTAGGTGCATGGACATAGAAAGTTCTTAAACTGTGTTGATGAAGTCTATCTGTAGATTGATTAAATAGGCTACATAAGAAGCATAATGACTTCTAAATGTTTTCCCTTTTCTATAAACAGGGTTATTTCCTTCTCTTTGAGTCGATGCTGGATTCTGTCATCTATGCAAAGAACAAGTACCTGGCAGAGGGAGGCTCAGGTTAGTGTGCGTAATTCTTTTAATAAATTTAGCTCGAGGGGGAAGCTAAATGAACTCAGAGACTTAAAATAAGCTATGCATGGATGAGAAAGTTGGCAGTCTAAATGAAAAATGTTTCCATTAGTATGAGCTTCAAGGCATTAATTTACTGTATGGGTAATAGAAGAGCATTAGATGGGGTATCAAGGTCTGAAGTCAATGATGTTTTTAAGAATAGAGGGGCTTATTTATTCTTAAGTACAGTCTAAATTCTTCCTCCCTACTTCTTCCTACACATGTGAGCATTTGTTTTCCCCTCTTGAAATCCCAGTTTCTGCATAACTACAAACAGAAGAAAATAAGACTTATTCGTAAGATGTGATACTGTTTGAGTAAGCTCCTATGAATTAGATGAAAAGTGGATAGGATGTTTTCCTGGAGGGAGGAATTTCCATGAGGAGGAACATAGTTTCAAACACAAGAAGCCACGTGAAAAAAATGAATGAAATTACATTGTTTGTTTAGCATGTTTATTCTACCCTGGTGGGAATATACCCTTTTTTATTTGTCATTGAAGAGTACAGAAGTTACAAAACAAAAAGGTTTTATTTTTAGATAGAATTCTTTTATCCTTTTAAGTAGCTTAGTACCATTTTAAGCAGTGTTTAAATACCTGTAAATATTTGTTCCTCACGTGATGCAATTTTCTGCACGAGTTCTGCATATGCTTTATTCCTTGCACTTAATTTCTTTGTCAGTATTGTATTTCATATTGATCTTTTCAATCCTAGTCATCAGTATGGGGTTTTTTTCCCTTTTGTGCTAACCATGCACACAGTTAGTTTCACTACACTGACTTAATGATTGAATTAATGACTCTGTAACAGTGCTCGCTGCAGAGCTTCCCTTTGATTGCAGTGAGCTTTTTGTATGCTACAAAATGTAGCAGAAAAAAGGGGGTTTGTGCAGTTGTTCAACATTCAGTCACAAAGCTGAATGTATGAACAAGAGGTGACTGTTCATGTGTTAAAATATTTGGAAGCCACTTGAACAACAAGACAGAACAAAAGCTTTTTTGTTTTCAGTAATACAGTCCAGCCAGATCTGGAACACAGTTGGGGTGTGCTCTGTACAGGTATATGCTAATAATTTTACATCACAACATAATCAAATTTGAGGACATCCTCTAAAATTGTAGGAAATTGTTTTATGTTTAGCTACTAACAAAGCCTTCTGAAAAGGGCCAGAAATTTTATAACCTCTGTTGAAACTGTGATGTTATCTTGTTCTCTGGGCTCTACTTGTATTGTTGGTGAGTTTGCTAGTAGCTTGTGTCTCCCAAAGTTTCCTTTGAGAGGCAGAGTGTGCTGGTTCTGCAGCAGACTTATCCTTTGTGGTCTTGAGAATGGTCTTGGTCCCTTATTTGACTCCTCACAAAGCATACAGTATTGTACAATCGCTGATTGGTATGGCTGAATTTAAATGGAATGCTATTTCCTTAAGATGCATATGATTACTGCTGTTCTGCCAGCTTATAGAGGTATAAATGAATGTGCCCGAGATTCATGAGGAAGTTGCTCAGCAGTCAGCTTAGCAAGATGGACATTTCTGCAGCATCGATGAATCACAGCAGAACTGTGGGCACATCCAAATTCCAATAAGTCAAACCAAAGAGCTCATTCTGAGGTAAAGTCTTACCAGAAAAACTCCTGAATCTGCCATAAAGCTTAATTTTGTCTCAAGCCACTTTGTACTATTGAGCCCAAGATCGTTATTACGGGGACTGTTTGCTGCTGAAAAAAGCAGCAGAAGCAGCTGTGATTTGGCCAGATCTGTCAATGACTGAGCTGGGAATAGAATCCAGATTTCTAGATTTGTGTTCAGTCGGTCATATCGTCATTACTTCAGTTTAGCCTATTGGCATGTTGAAGTGGATTATGCCAAACTGTCTAGGGTAATGTGTACAGTATATAATAGCTTTATTTGGAAACATAAAATTCTTGCTGCCCAGGACCCATCTGTTTGTTCTTTAAAGCTGTTACTTGCTTGAGTATAGATTTTTGCACACACTTGAGTGACACAGGTAAGGAAGGCATCATTCAAAACAATACTTTTTGCTTGTTCACATCAAAATGATGATGGTATTAACTTGGAATTATTTCTGCATATCTGGAGGATTGCTGCCTTACCCTTCAGTGTCCCAAAGTTTGTGAGGCATTGCTAAGGGATAAAGAATTTCCCATCGTATTCTGTTTACCACGTGAGCTGTTACTGGTGACAGATGACTTCTGGGCACTGAGTCGAGAAGGACACAGATGGTCAAAACGATGAATCTGTGAGAGCATTGAGGAATATGTGCTTTTGTCCAATCAGCATTTTGTTCATTTCACCTATGAAAAGGAATAATTAAGTTATAAGCTTAATCAGAAAAAAATGATGGGTCTGTCAGGATTGCACAGGAAAGTGTTACAGGGTTGCAGAAAGATCGGGATTTTCAGGGGGATCGAGAATGATGGGTGAAATGGCAAATGCAGTTTTAGGCAGATGCTTTTAAATGTTTACAAAACTCTACAGTGTTTAGATGATTTAGGTTGATATTTAGGTAACATGCTTACATTTCCAGTCAAACATCAATATAGCATATGCTTCTGGACATGGGTGAGTTTGTAAATTTGGAAGTTAATGTATCACTGTAGTTATTTGCCTGTGCCCTGTTGGTGGAAGAGAGATTTATTTTTGCGAAGTCTGAACCAGTATTGTCTATTTTTTAGTTGCTATTGATAGGCTAAACTAAAAATGCAGATTAGATTAGAGCATTAATATTTACTTTTTTGCTTGTTCTTAAGCACTTTATATAATTAACCGTGAGTTCCACTGCTGATTTAAAGATTTGCTTGTGTGGACAAAGAGATTTAATAAAAACTGATTATGGTCCCACTCAAATATTTCATGCTTGATAGATGTGGTTAACTTTCTTCTGTTAACAGAATGTCCCAGAGTTATGGGCTAGTCTGAGGAAGGAAGGTTACAAAGTGGTTGATCATGTTTTGCTGTGGTTTTCACTTTAATTTGCAGTGTCTCTAGCATGCTCCTGTAAGGGTATTCTATAAATGGAGACTTTCAGTCTCTCTTCTACTCATCCTCATTGCATCCTATGCAGGGGTTCCTTCATTTCCCTGAAAAATATTCCCTCAACGGCTGTAGTCACTTAGTTTTGTTGTTTGTTTCACACAGTCTTTTAGTTTTTGGAGAGTCAGTGGAGGTTCTTGAAGGTTTAAATTCTGGGAAGTAAAGCCAGATACAGTCAGTTGTCATGCTAGTAAACAGCAATATGAAAGCTTAGAGAAATGGAAATCCCTTATTTATGGCTCCAGAAACTACTCACAAATACTCGTACCATGAGATGTTGATATTTTTTTTTGTGCATGTGTGACAGCTGTCAGGTGTGCTGGAACCAAATTTTTTGTTTCAGACAAGACAGTTTGAACTCTTTCCTGTTCTTATTCTCATCAAACTGTCTTTTCACTGCTGAGTTAATTGTAGTCTGTTCCTGGAGAAACCTTCTGCTTTGAGTTCCTGATCCCCAAAGTAGGGATGCTGGTAGCTTACCAATGGGATTCCTGTTTAAGCTTGTTGAAATTTCTGAATGTTTATAGCAGAATGAAAAAAATAGAGGAAAAATGGCAGTATGTACATATTTTGTATAAACTGGTCATCCCGAATGTGGAGGTGGTTGCTTACTTTACTGTCTTCATATGAAAATGAAAAAAAGGTTCAGTAGAGAAAACTCTTCTTTATCATTAATAACTATAAGATTATTTCCTTCAGGCTAAATCTGCTCTCACTATATAAAAGGCCTAATTTCAATTTGTTGTTTCAGTCTTCAGTATTTTACAAGGCAAAAAATACTGCTTTTCTGACTTGCCATGCTGTACCGATGATTTCTCCGTACTCATTTTGATAAGCTACAATTTCAAACAGAGCTGCAGACAGAATTAATTTTACAGTTCACCAGATTTTGGAGAGGAAAAAAAGAAGCTTCAGTTTTATTAACACTGCCACATTCATGTATTAATAAACATAAAATAAAATAAGGTATTTATTAGTAGGCACTTTGCTCTGAAGCCAGACCAAGAATTCAATGTATGTGGCTTTAAAGGCTTTAAAACTGTGAAAACAAAACATGGGAAATTATTTGTGGAAAGAAACCTAGCTAAATATAAATTGCGCTTCTCTTACTATTTGATAGTGCTGTAGACAGCCATGTTCATAGCAGCTGTTCTTTGTGTCTCTTCCAGTCAGTAGTGGATAGAGATTGCCAAGAGATTGACTGGCTTTGCTGTCAGCAGCTGTTAAAAAGGCAAATGTCAGTTTTCCACTACTGTTTGGAAAAGCTGTAAATAGGTACTTGTTCTGAAAATATTCCTAAGAGAAGGGAAAGCACAAATGTAAAGATGATGTAAGAATGATAGCTGTCATTCTAAAACAGTGGGGGTAATTGATGAAGTTCTCTTCTGTGTGTTGGGTCACTTCCATACTCTTCAGATGCAGATAAGAGAGTGGTTATTCTTTTCCAGTACCCAGAAATAAATTTTTAGGTTGTAAGGCAAGTACTAGCCAGAGCTCATAAGAAATAGGAATTAAACTCTCAAGTAAGAATATTTGCTCTTTTCTGGAAATAAGGTATTTTCAGAGATTTCTTGTTATAGCAAAACCCTTGCCTGACTTTTCCTTTGTGTGTCTGTCTACACTTATTAAATACATATTAGGGCAGTCTCTGTATAGAAGCCATAATAGAATGTTCCAAATTATTTTCTTCAGACATCAAGTTTCCAGTCTTTTCCTGTCAGTGGGATTCAACTACGAAGATATTTTGATATGAGGAATTACTGTTTCCAGAGTAGTGTGGGAAATTTAAGTTCCAATGTCTAGTCTCTTGTGTGGACAAATGGGATGCCAGAAAATAAAGTAGCAGAAAAACTGTCTTGTCCAAGAGCTGAAAAAGTTATTTTATTTGTTCGTTTAAGATGGTAATCACTTAAAATGAAAAGATTGAAAAAGTCATCTTTGTCCATGTCTAAAATAAAACTTCAATAATCTGTTTCTGTTGTTACAGTTTATCCTGACATTTGCACCATTAGTCTAGTAGCTGTTGGGGATATGAATAAACATGTGGACAAGCTACTTTTCTGGGAAGATGTGTATGGTTTTGACATGTCTTGCATGAAGAAAGCTGTAATTCCAGAAGCTGTTGTGGAAGTGCTGGATCCAAGCACACTGATATCTACAGCCACTGTCATTAAGGTACATACTTACTAAATTTTTAGAAATTTCATTTTTTTTTTATGGAGGAGAATTAAAAAATACACACACATGAACTTTGGCATTTTCAAAATTATACAAATGCAATAAAGTTCTTGGTGTTAGACTGTAAGACTTATATTAATTGCTTTTTTAACCAAATTTGAGCTCTTAAAAAAGTGTTCTTCCCATATTTAGATTGTTCAGTTCAACATTTTCTTCTATCCAAACCCAAATTTGCTTGCATTTTAGTAAGTTATGAGTTGCATAACTGAAATCTAAACTATACCAAAAAAAACCCCCACCCTGGAATGTAGAGCCTTTCTTCTACTTTGCTTCCCTCTTCATCTCAGTCAGTATACTGAGTTGCAGAGAGGTTTCTTATCTATTTCTGTGTCAAGCTAGCTGGCTTTAAAGATCTTTCATTGCAGTGTCACTCACTATCACCCATAGCTTCATCCACCAGAATGACCATGCTTGAAAAGGCAACGGTAGTTTTTGCAGTACTCACTGAATTAATTTGATTCTTACTTTCCTGTCTTGTCTTTTTTTAATGGCAGCTTTGTGATGAGGAATAGCAGCAAAGTTGATGGTGATTCATATTGGAGAGCACCTACATGACGAGATGTAATTCCAGAACACTGTTTTGAAATTCTGACAAACTTTGTGATTAATAATAATTTGAACAGTTCAAATCACATTGAGAGAAGGACTACTGTAAACCAAGCTTTTTGTCACAATGGTATTCTAATTGTAGTTCATATGGTTACCTTTCTATTGTAAAACATTTAGGACAGTAATATTACTGCCCTTCAGTGAGAATTGCCTGTTTAGTGAAGAGGTAATTTCTATTCAAATGCATCCCTATCCTATTTTTATATAGAAGAAAATGTGTTTACATAATTCATCACTGAACTTGACACTACCACTGAGAGTAGTTCCAGTCTCTTCCAGCATATAAACTACTTGCTGTGGTCAGTTATCATCCTGCCCACAAAAGCAGCAACAGGTGAAGTACAGTCTTGTTGTGAGTGTATCCTGATGCAAGCTTTTTCTTGTTCATGACTTTATTGCAGAGAAGATCAGAAAGTTACATTTTTTTAAATTCGGTATTCAAAGATAAGAAGTGCTGAGACTGATTTTTCTGTAATTAGAATAACTACTTTGTGTCTTACATTTTATTTTCTGAGCTTGTTGACTAGACTTTCTAAAGTTGATGAAATAAAATTCCTGAGAACAACTATAAGATGTGTGACTTGGAGCTTCCAAGTGTCTATTTTGCTTGACTGTAAGGAAGGAGTAGAGTGATCAATTCTGTTGTTGAAATATCTCATGATAGGACAGATAAATTCCATCCTTAGTGGTTGAATGTGCACAAGACTGAGGTACTGAGATCAAGAGTCCGAGGCTGTACTTGTTGTACTTGTACATCTGGCAGGTTTGGTTGTACAATGAGTGAGGCATAGGAACTTTTCTCACCTACCATGTTTTTTATAACATTTTGTATGTTTTGATTCAAGTGGAAGCGTAGTTGAATACTTCTTGCAAATAGGTCAAGTTTGGTATACAGAAAACAAAGTACATGTAATGTGTTCTTAATCAACAGCTGCGTGAGTAAGTTGAGGGCTATCAGTTTGCTAGGCAAACAAATAAATTAAAACAACATCTTTACCTGGAAGATGTTGATAACAATAACTATAGTTAAATATGCCCAGTGCAGTCTATAACCTGCTGTTACTTTAGAAGCAAAATGCTTTACTGGTACATGTTCCTTTCTAATCTATACTGTCATGAGCAGTCAGTGTCTAGCTCAGGTGTATGTGCTTAGCAAAGCTTACCATCATGCAGCATTTCACATAATTTGTTATGCTTAATTGTTTTATAGTACTTTGTTCTTGGTCACAGTCATGGTTTTCAAACTAACCTAAAGTGCAATGCATAAGCTTGTTTGCTGGAGTTCCGGTACAAAGTAATAAAATTAATGAGTTAATTTACCTGTAATGCCATTGTTGTTTGTTTTAATCAATAGCCTTTCGACAGAACAAATGGATTATATTTTTGAGGAAAAATTTTAAAATGTTGCAATTTATCATATAATTATTACAGAAGACCTTTTAGTGTGTTTGGTCAGATTAGCTGCTGCTTTTTTTGAATAGTTTATAATGTAACTTTTCAGGAAGCAAAACATTCTTTAAAGAAAGATGAGGCAACAGAAAGAAATATTTATTAATAATGTATATGACATTTAACTTCAGTGGTACTTGGATAATGCATTTTAGCCGAGTATGTCAACTGAAGAACTTCATACAGAGAAAATGTGGAATTTTCATGAACAACTGAAAACTGAAGCTTAATGCTCTTCAATAATTGATTATATATATAAATAAGCAAGAATATTGAAGTGCAGGGGGCAATTTGACTTGACATTGTTATAGTTCTGGATGCTGTTGTGTTGTGTTAATTTCAAATAGAGAAGCAGTTCTCTTTGCTTTTTCTCCTCTGTTGTATCACTCTGACATTTCCCATACTAGTATACCACGATTGTGCTGCCATTCAGAAGGACCTCCACAAGCTGGAGAAATGGCCCAATGGGGATCCTGTGCACTGGGCTCAGGGCACTCGGAGGGCAATGCAAAATCCTACAGCTGAAGTGACTTCAGAAATTATGGCCCTATAGACTAATGGCTGCTGAGGATATCTGTATGAATGCCTGTGAAGGCTACTTAACCTCAGCTACCCAAGAGCAACTTTCATGAACAGAGTGAGCTACTATGTCTAGTTCCAAACCACTGCTAGTCAAAATGTCTGGTTACTTTGACATTTGGGGAAAAGGTGTTTTAGATGGTTTGTCAATGTACAGAGAGGATTAGGTGGTTTTTAAGTCTTTTCCCATATTCGGAGAACTGAATTAGTATTGCCCTAGACCAGCTGTCATTTTGTGGGAGCAACTGGACAACCTTCATCCAAAGATATATCTTAATTTAAGTTTAGCACTGTTACTGACAGAATTGTATTATTCCTTCCAACAGCATATTGACTGTAACATTGCATCCACTCCAGACTTAGAATTCTCTTCGGATTTCACCCTGACCATTACAAGCAGCACAAAGTGTACGGTAAGACAATTTTAGTTGCTTCATATATGGACGGTATCACATTGGACTAATAGACAGTGCAGTAATTAAGCTTCATTTGTCATCAGTCCTTGCCTTGAAACATTCTTTTCTGCAGTACAGAAGTGTCAGATGAGCTGTTTTTGTAAGAGTGATGGATGTAAAACTCCAGTGATAATGTTATGGTATAAAACAGGTAAATGAGGTAAAAGGAAAGATAAGGAGCCTTAGTGTTGGAGTTGTTCGGTTTTATTTTGTAGCCCATTTTCTAAAATAAGTCAAGTCAGTGCCTAAATATATTTATTTAACATTCTTCATGTACGAGTGTGATTGACTTCTGAAATAAGTATGTTATGAATGTGTTTAAAGCTAAAACAAATTTGGTATTCCAACACGGATATTTAGAAGTGTTTAGATTGGTACTCTCTGAGGATATAGTTTTAATCTGACTTAGTTATGATGCACAGCTTGCTTTCTTTGTTTGAATATGGAAGAAAAGAATCAAAGAGATAGATTTGTGTAGTGTTACCATTAGGCAGGACAGTTAGAATAAAGATGAGGTACAGATGAGAGTCTGGTGGTACCTTAAGGTAAAACATTGAGTTTTTAAACACTAAATTATAAGAAAAGCAGGATGACCTAAGTTTTACAGATTTCATGACTTTAGTAATTTTATGACTTTTTTATGTTTATTATACATGCTTTCTACCAATTTATTAAAATAGCCCCATCAAATTTGGCAGAAGTTTGTTAGACTATCAGATCTGTAGTAAAAACTAAAATTTTTGTAGTCTAGTGTATTGTGATACTTCTGCTGGGAGTTTTCATGCTTAGCTTTAAGTTGCAGCACATCACAGAATCAAGTCCAAAATGGTAATTGGTAGCTAATTTTTAATATATTGTGGTAAGTCTGCTACAAGTGGTTTACTTGGTTTCTGTGTGTGGGTGTGAAGAGGAGATGCAGGCTTCCTCTGGTCCATAGAATATGTTGCTGTATAATGTAAACACTGAAGCTGACAACAAAATCTTGCATACCTATGTCAAGCAATGTAATACATGGTTTTGGATGCGTCTGCGTGTTAGTGCATGCTGCTGCAATTGCCACCACTTTTAGGTTTATAACAGGGTACATGAAAACTCGTGTTTAAAGTGAAGTTTTCACATGTATGTAATGTAAAGCACTGTTATTACTGTCAGGTAGTAGGTGCAAATATTTCATAATTATTTGTCAATTATAAACAAATTAAGTAAAGACACAGTAACCTCTTTTGTTATTAAATGGAATTCTATATATTTTATTATGCATTCACACAAAAAAAATCTCCTGTTTTTATTTGTCATAGAATCAGAGTAATTCTAATTGCCTCAGAACAGGGTCAGCTTTGATTTCAGACCAAGCTTTGGTGTAGCCCTTGGTTAATTTTCTTAATGTGGCCACTTTTGAATAACTAAATAGTTAAAGAGAAATCTTTATAAAGTCTTGGTGATCTTTTCGATGTTCAGGTAGAGTAAAATAGCTTGTTTTGTAAACATAATTTTCCCTAGCACTAGACCTTTACGAAAACAATTTCTGTTCTGTGCTTCTGACTATGGTATCTCTGACTTATAAATCAGGGTGTACACCTGCATTTTATGACTTACAGGGAGAAGGGATGGGGAGTTGGGGGAAAGAGCAGTATTTCTGAAATTCACCTGCAGTGAATGCAGGTTCTAAAAAATGATCAGAACTCTGTAAAGTATTTTGCACTTCATCATTTAGGTTTATTGACACTTTGAGTGAAATTTCCACTCTTTCTATGATGGATTTTAGAACTTTAGCTGGGGGTTGACAGTTCATCCATCATATCAGGCTGCCTAACCTTGCAGTAAATGAACAATAAAAGTCCATTATTTATGTTGAGAATTTTTGAGGGAGATGCTTTAAGATTGCAATTTGTCCTTTGAAAATAACATTTGATGTTTTCCTTGTTTGCATCTGTGTTGTATATTTCTACTGTTTTTTAATTTTTTTATATTTCCCAAAATTCTAGCTTTTTATACTTGTCTGTTGTGATTCTTGCATTTTAAAAATATGAACATATTTTTAAAATGTTGCTTTATTTACAAGAAAAAGTTTCACAAAAAATAGCAGTTTGAAAATCCATCCTCATATGCTTGTCTATATCGTGTTTTTTTAGCTCACAACCTAATGTTCATTTCAAAGCAGCTTTTTCTCAGCTCTTCCTGTGCCATAGAAGTGTGAAAACGGATTTGATTATCTTATTCCTAGTGTTGCCTTCAACAGCAAAGCTAACTTCAGACCACTGTTACCATCAGAACTAGGATTCCCTCTGTGAAGTGATCTGTTTTTAAAAACCAAACAAGTGGAAAGCTTAGGTGCAGGGTGAGGTATTAGTTGTTTTGTGGATACTATTGCAGATCAGCTACAAGTTTGGGTTGTGGAGAATGAGTTTCCATGCCGCTTCTTTCCAGAGCACTGTGTAGGTGCAGAGGAGGATATTGTAGACATCCTTCTGTGGAAATGTCAG